ATAAATTTGTTATATTATNACCCCAAACCCTTCTCTTCAAATCCTTGCGAGGAAGGCACCTATTGACAGTTACATCCGACTACAAGAGAAAATCTGGCAGTTAAAGTGGGGCAACACCATCCATGTCAATAATCAACAAATACATCGTCAAGAGTTAGAACGACCAGTCCAATTCGCTGATACTAAACACCCTGCTTCTCTTAAGAAACTAAACTTCTCGCGACCTGATGATGCTGATATTCAAATCTTTACAGATGGATCTAAGACCAATTCTAATGTGGGCAGTAGCTATGTGGTCTACCGGGACAATGTGGAGACTGCCTCAGGGCAGTTCAAGCTTGGTGCCGGCTGCACAGCCTTTCAGGCTGAAATGTATGCAATCAAAATGGCCATTGCCTGGTCTGACTCAAATTATACCAATACTAAAGTGTCCATCATCTCAGACAGTCAATCCTCTATAGCCTTGCTCAATAGTCAAGCTTCTCACCCTATCTCAGCTAGTATCCACGACATCATTAACAATTCCAATAATATCTATCACGTCAGCTGGACTCGTGCCCATCAGGGCACACTTGGTAATGAGAGGGCCGACATACTTGCAAAGACTGCCAGTGAAGACGACAATCTCCGGATCTGCTATAATAGCCCTACCATTAAAACTATCAAGAATATGCTTTGGAAAGACCTACTTCAGCAGTGGCAACATGATTGGAACACGCTTAACCATCCAATTACTCACAAATTTATTCCCAATATTGAACTATTTCTCTCAAACAATTGGTACAAACCATGTCATCGTATGTCTCAATTTTTAACAAATCATGGCAGGTTCCAGTCTTACCTGGCCAGATTTATCGGAGCTGCAAACTCTGATTGTCCTCTTTGTGGTGTGGACGACAGCTCGGATCATTATATCTTCAACTGTCCTATGTTGGATCACGAAAGGCACTTTCTGAGGTCCTCTATGGAGGCGCACGGATACCGCTGGCCCAATGAATCCCACGGTATCCTGGACAATAAAGACGCCTATGAGGCCCTCACAAGGCTCATCAGTGCATACTTTTATCGCACCACCGTTCCTGGATACAAATAACCTTTCTCATTATCTCATTAACGGTGTTGTATTGTCTTATTTTTATTGCTACAGGTACTATTACTTTGTAACACACTGTTTTCTTTTTTTTTATAATTTCTTAACGTATTATATGTTTTGCTTACTGAATTTTATATTATTGTTTATGTATTTTAATTTTCTCAAATAAGTTATTGTAAATTTAGTTAATTGCTATTGTATCATGTTTCTACTGAAATATTGTGTTATACTTTGTCTGCATTATTATTCTATAATGTATTGTATTTTGTTATTTACATTCTGTATTTTGTGATTCTCTGCTGTATAATATTTTAATACATATGTTTTCTGTATCATACAACTTGTTATTTTATCCCCATCTTTTGTATATACTACACATGTAATGTTACTGTAGCCTCTAATGTTAATGATCTGTAATAATGCCAATATGTTCTTGTCTGCACCTGGTTATATGTCTATGGCACCAGGTATGTACTGTAACTCAGTATTTTATTAATATAATGAATCTGAATCTGTCATCTGTCATCTGAAGGGTAAAGGCTAGTGAGGATGTGTGTTATAGTTTCTTTCATGTTTTTGGTGTAGCGACTAATAGGGAGATGGTTAGTGAGGAGCTTTGGAGCTGGTGTTTTTCTTACAAGCTAAGGCGTTGCAACCGCAAGTGTTAGTACAGAAATCCTGCTAAGTGTTAGTCCTTGGTTTTATTTATAAAGGTTTTGTAAGTGTCGTGTTCGATCCTGTACTCGTCGCTAATGTGACTTTAATGTCCTTCTTTTGTTCATTCCTAAGTTGCCTCCATAATCTCCTAAAAACGTTCTTCGCGTTTTCTAGCTCAGTGGTACAACAAGAAACCTTTTTCTGTTTACACTGTTTTAGCATGGATTGAACATGTAAACAAAGTGCAAATCGCGCAGACTAAAATTAGAAAATATTTGAAAAAAGCAATGCCACCAGGATAAGGAATCAGGAAAATACACACTGTCACAAAGAAAGGGTTTGAGTATTACTTTCACCGATAATGTTGTTGCAGTTTCAAAAATTTGGTTAAATATTAGCACACTTTTGAGCAGTAAAAGTGAAAAAGTTCGAGGCAAAAAGAAAAGCTCAAAGCCTTTTTAGGCGACGATGCTTATTTTTCCAACTTATGATCATACTAACAATTCTTTATACATAACTTTCCGTAGTTGTAATATAGATTTTTATTAATAATACTAGCTGCAAGATCCCGCTTCGCTGGGTTTTTATTCTAGAATATCTAAACCCATAAAGAGGTATGGAACTAATTTTTGTGAACTCTCTCTTGGCAATTTGCGTTTTACGGACTCAGAACATTTCCTCGATAATAGTTATTGTATCGTATATATAGGAACTAATAAATCGTTATTTCTGTGTTAAATTGGTGTCCTCTTTTACTCGTATATCGCCTGTAACATTACCGACGGCACTCCTCCCTCCTCCACTTGACCCGCAAAATTTTAATCCCGTTACCTCGGGATAAACTAAAGAAAATTTAAGCCATCTCTGACAAGTGGGCAAGTCCCTCCGACTTGAAAGCCGATCACGGAAATACGAAGTAGTCATACTCCCTTGGTTCTCACATATGCAAGTATTGCTTAAAGCTGCTGTGTTCCGTAAGTAGCTGAGTGAAACTGTAACTAGATTAAAAGTGGTGAAAAGTCACGGTGTTGGCAACCTTAGGATGAAAGTGTAGTTGAGCCTATCAGTGGTGTCATGGTCCCAGCTGTCTTGCAAGAGAAAGAAGATTTGCTTTTTGACATGATTGTTGATGTATCAGGAAGAAACGTAACTGAAAGTACTAGTGACTGAAAACTGTAGCTTGTTTGACAAGCTGGTAAGCGGTTTCTTTGCCAAGAACCCACGATGATCCGGGACCCATTGAAAACATTGAATATTCTAATGTTGTTGTCTACGTGTCTGAGAATTAGGTGTATGAGATGGACGATTTTTAAATGGATATCAAAATTAGAATGTTAAGGTGCTATGTGATGTCAGTTTTGTTTTATGGAGTAGAAACGTAGACCTTAAATAAAAATATGTTAAACAAACTTGAAGCATTCGAAATGTGGTTATATAGAAGAATTTTAAAGATATCTTGGACAGATAGAATAACAAATGATGAAGTTTTGCAAAGAATGAGGAAAGAAAAAGAAGTTTTAAGTACAGTTAAAAGTAGAAAGACTGGGTATTTTGGCCACATCATCCGAGGAAGTAAATATGAAATTTTGAGAAATATTTTAGAGGGAAAAATCTGTGGAAAGAAAAGCCCAGGAAGGAGAAGGAAAAGTGGGTTGGGTAATATATGTGAATGGAATAATAAGAAAGCAGAAGAACTCACACGTGAAGCACAATTGAGATTGTTATAATACTAGTCCTACATTCAAAAATGAATATGGAACCAGAAGAAGAAGATCAACTTCCAAATTCTATGTAATGCTGCCCTACTGTTAAAATAAATGAGATTGTAAGTAGTGTCTTTTGTACTTCCGATGCCTAATGTGAAATAAGCCCTTATAAATAGCCAAAGTTTCCGCCTGTGCTATTGAACAGCGTGTATCTATAAGCAAGCAAGAGTTGTGAAGCTCGCGGCCTAAGTCGGAGCAAACTACAAAAGTGAAACACACATCACACATCTTCAACCATCAATGTAAAACCTAAACATGGGATGATCACCTGGATGTTTGAAGTAAACATCAGTGACAAGCTGATGGGAGGGGTGATAATAGTAAGTCAGGAGGGTATTATTGTCGATGCTGAATTTTTTGATATCATTGATTAAGGTCAAACTGGGGTGAATCTTACCTACTCTAATCTTTTGTCAACATCCGAGTCGCTATAANACATATTAAAATGTTGCATTTTTGTCTTAACGTAATAAAAATATTTTTATTCAACAATCACAATCATTGCAAGCTGAATGTCGACATTTACCGGTGTAAGTGAGAAATAATGACATTTAGCAAATATTTCGTACATACACGAAACGACTGCGTAAATGCCGACATTCACCGGAGAATGTTGACATTCGCCAGATATCGGTCATTCACAGTAACATGTATATATACAGAGATATTAAACGCACTGCGGGTATTTGGGGGGCATGAGAAATGCTTTTCTCTAAAGTTTTATATAACGCCCTGCCACCAGGTGTGCATTATCGAACACACCTCCAAGTTAGACCCTTGGGAAGTCAGTATGTAAGGCGCGAGAGTAAGAGTCACTTCGAAGTTCAAAAATGAGCTTCTGAGAAGATGAATTGAAAATCTATTAAACAACTTAAGAATAAAAAGAAAAATTTATTACGAACAAAACTAATCATAATGTTAAAATTAAGTTTAAAAATAATATTAAATAGAAAGTATGTCCTCGAAAGTTAGGATAGTTCCATATTAGTAAAACGGAAAGTACCTAGCAGGGGTTATCGATAACTTTGCGACTCACAACATACGAGAAGAAGAGTTGTTTTTTCTTCAAAGACCTTCTGGCTTCTTTTCGGTTTCTTTTGTAATTTATCCTTTTTATTATATTATTTTATATAATATTTAGTTTTTATTTTATTTACATACGGAGAACTTTGTTACTGTTGAATCTCGTTCCACAATTCTTATTCCACAATTTTAAATATTTAATTTATATAGTTGATTTTGCTGAGCTTTACTTTTTCAACTTCGATTCCTTAATTATGTTTTATGGAATACAATATCTTTTAGGCTATGAATTGTCATATTTAATCATATAATATAAACCAATTGCGAATATTTGTAATACAATAAATGAAAGTAGTAACATGTATAATTACGTAATTACATGATATATCGAAAAACTCCTTTCCGAATTTCATAAAAACTCCCTAGCTTAACAATAAAGTAACAGAATAGAATTTACATACCAACGGGACTGTTATCCAAAAATGATATCGGAGTTCGAATGATACAACGAAACATATTGTTGTGCAGCTTGGAAGAAGCAATTGTAAAGAATCTGTATACCAATAATCCAGAAGCTAAACTCGTTAGAAATACGGCACATATCAATCCAATGTAAACATACATGTTGAATTCTTCACTGTGATAAAAATTTTCGTCTTCAATGTTGTGAAAAATACTTGTATTAGATGTAATATTTTCGAGATTCTCAATGCTGTGGCTATAGATTCTTTTATCTCGCAGCCTGAAAATTAAAAATAAAATAACAATTACACGTTGTGATTTCTCTATTTTTTAACAGAATGAAATACAATTAAATTACTTAAGTGCATTATGGAAAAAAATACATATAAACGATGTTGACATCTACCGAATGATGATGAGATAATATAACACATGAACACGTAAAATGATTTCAGTGAAAATTTAAGCCCATTATTTACCGTAAGATGTATAATGTAAACAACATCTCAATCTCTTACCTATGAGATCAATTCTATTAAAGATTATTTTTGCCTGGCATAACTGAGCAATATTTCTCACACATTGACATTTCTTCAAAGTGATAAGAATCTGCTAAGGAAACAGACGTTAGAATCTATTGCTAAAGTCCTTGGCAGCAAAACAAGAAATTATTTGAGATCTTGTTTCAGTTCTTACAGACCATTGCATTAATGAAGCAATGTAGTGAAGATGAGATTATTATTTATGTTTTGTGGTAAAAAAATCTCAAACCTTTCCATAATTACAAAGGAAAAAATGTTTTCTTCACAAAAGTGATAAATAAATTTTCTTAATAATGAGTTTAACTCATTATTAAGTAAAATATTTATATTAAATATATATATATATATATATCC